GCGTAGGCCGTAGAGAGAGAGAGAGAGAACGGCGGCGGCGGCGGGCGAGCTGCTCGCTCGGCACAGAGATAATGCCTTGCCTGTGCTCACCGCGGTATAAAGCAGCAGCAGCAGCAGCTTGGTTATATGGCGATCGTTCAGTTGCTTGCCCATATATACCGCTGCCGCCGCCGCGCTGCCGCTGCCGCCGCCGCCGACCCTTCTCTTTATATATACGGCGTTATAACACTCGCCAGCAAACTAAATGAGATCCCGCCCGCTCCTTCAGCCCCAGAACGTCAATATTGCACGCGAATTTCCTCTCTCCGGCCGCGCCGGGGCAAAAAAAAAAGCAGCGACGAGAGAGAAAAAAGAAAGCCGCCGCCGAGCTCGCCCGCTCCTACACGCCCGCCCGCCGTGGTGTGTGTTAATTAGAGTTTTATGCAACCCGCCGGCCAGCGCGCCCTGCCTGGTTGCATAGTTTCTTTTGTTGCAGGCGCTCTCTCCGGCACGGCCTCTCTCTCGCACGCCACCCGACCCGCCGCCACCCCCGTTCGTTCTGCGAATATTGAATTGTGGACGCACTTACTGAACTAGCGAGGGGCCGACGGACGCCACTCTCCGCCCGCACTTGCTTGGCGACCGGCCCCGTGGCTCAAATATTTATCACTCCAGGAATCCGCTGTAATTACGTTTCATGACCCCGGGAGTAGTGCCGAGAGAAGATTCCAACCGCCTGCGACTGCCGGTCCTTTTCTCAAAAAAAGTCACACGGAATCGTGAATTATAAATGCACGGTTTTGTTAGGAGAATTTATTTTATAAATTCGACTTAATTAACTGTACTTACCCCCGGAAACTTTGATTTGGCTTTGACTTCTCTCTTGATATGAAAACACTTTCGCTCGAGTTCACCGAGGGTATAAAAACTATGACGTTTAACTCTCGGTCTCGGAAAGGATAATGCCGTAGAAAGACTGCTTGCCGGCGTTCATTTACACAAGTGGGTCGGTGCAACAGTTAGGAGATGATAAAAGTTTGAAATTATATAAGCGGCGCAAATCTGTTATGGCAAACGATGTCGCTTTTTGCCATGCAGCGGCGTCCTAAAAGCTCTCCGGCGCGGCTTTGTTTAGTGCGCACGTAAATATAATCCGACCGGCATTGCTATATGTGTGTATCCAACACTACACTGTCGCTTTCACAAAAACACGAGCTTCAATCCTTTGTTGAATTAGATTCAAGTCAATCAACACTTACATGGCTAAAAATTAGTAAAATATTTTAATACTCTCTACTATATGCATATTTTATTTTTATTTCTATTCTATTCTTTTGTATACAATACAATTTTATATTATATTACATGATATTACAAATAAAATGGTCAATTTTGGATTAAATCTTGATTTTCTCTTACTTTAGATAATAATTTTGTCAAATACGGTTTTAAATTTCAATTCAGTAAATCAAAATCAATAAATTATTCTCGTCTGTAATGCGTAATTTATGGAAAGCAATGTGAAAATTTAAATAAAGAAGCGCTCTATCTATTGTAATCGCAGTTCACAGTTTTGTTTATCTATTCACGTTTTAATTTTTAATGCTGGAAATTCAGGGTTGCGTTAAATTATTTAATTAATTTTAAAACTTTCATATAAGCAGAAATTTTCACTTATTTTTATCTTTCCGAAAAAAAATTGACGTGGATTCAGATATTGATTGGAAAAAATGAAAACTGAAAACAAATTAAAATTTAAAATGTCAAAATGTCAACTTTTAATTGGAAATCTTAATTCTTTTCGAAACAGATTAGGATTTTTGTTTCCAAAACATTAATTTCTTCTGGAAAATTAAAATGGAGACTGAAACACAGTTAACAACGCAAACACGGCACAACTCGCATAAAAACCCTGGACACTTATAGCAAATTAACAACATACTTTTTTCTCTTAGCATCAAAACATTCCTTAAAATTGATGCAACAAAAGGCATTTTGTGAAATACTTCTCACCACTCAGTTGTCGATTGAGTGATTGCCCTGTTATAAAGCCGTCAAAAAGAGAGCCAGAGTAGAAAAGGAATATTGGTGCCGTAGAGCAATGTTCATTGCAAGGGGATGCAGTTTTTATGGCATAGGACTCTGTTTTCATCTTTCTAAAATCTTTTGGAGGATAAAATTTTAAAAACTGCGGCGGCGTCAAGCCTGACGATAAAAATTCTCCTTTCATCATAATTTTCAGAGGCAGAGTAAGAGGGCAGCATTAATTTTTATTTTCATTTAAAGCAAAGTCTTTAATATAAAGGAATAAAATTTAATAGATCACAATTATAGGGTCACTTGAAAAATAAAGCTTCATTATTTATTTTTTTACTGCGCAGCTTTCTTTGTATACAGCTACGGTATTTTTTAATTTCTAAGCTTAAAAAATAGATATTTTTTATTCAATATTGCGGTGTTATTTAAATATGAGATTACAATATACGCACAATCAATTGCAATTTTAGCAATCTGGGGAATTTCAACTAATTATTTTAATTAAACTATATCAATGTAAATCAATGTCCGATCAAATCTATTATGCGGATTAGCTGACAGCACTGCAGATGAACGATTTGTCTGTGAGGGACGTAGTATAGTATAGTGCCCGAACCATACAATTTGTCTACGACTATATTATTGCATTGACTTTATTAACAACTTCTGGAGTATGAATTGTGATGAAAAACTCTTTTTTGTGAACTATATTATACTTTCAACACACAAATTTTGAGTTAAAATATTTCCAAAGAATTGAAAAAAACCTGAAAAATCAAATTTTGTTCACAAAAGATTATTTTAATTTCCAAAGGAAAATTTCAATATTTCTGAGTAAAATTAAAAAATAATTTTTGAGTGTATTTCTCGGTCCTGTTAAAAAAGTAATCTTAAACAACGCGGCGAAAAAAATTCCAGCCGCGAGCGGCGATCCGCGCCTGTATAGCATAACACACTTCTGCGAATCTCAAGCGAGGGAATATTATAAGGAAAAAAAATACCCAGGCGAGAGATAGGCGGCCGAAGAACCGAGAGTTTAATTAACCAGTAGCGGCGAGCGAGCGCAGTCGCTGCTGATTATGCATGAACGCGAGTCTGTGTGCCGTGAATTTGCGTGTGTGTTTGTACGTGTGTGTGCTTGTATATAAAGCTGTATATATGTATTTAAAAGTGAGGAGGCGCCTCGCTTCTCTCGCGCTTGTTTTAATTGCAGTTGTCCACGGCGAGATCGGGCCAAGAGGTGCTGCGGCAAGTTGCAGTGGGAGGCGGAGGGCATAGCCTCGAGTTGTGTTGTGTGCTCGCATCATTTCTGCTGGGCGCGGGCTATAACGCCCTCGTGGTGTCAGGCTACGCCGGTCGGCCGCTCTGCCTACACGAACAAACGCGGTGCTGTCCTTATCTGCCGTCGCCGCCGCGGCTCCAGGCAGGTCCCTTCTCTCTCTCTCTCTTTCGCTCACTCGCGCGCGCTAGCCTCTCTCTCTTGCTTTAATCCGTCACGTCATCCGCCAGGCACAAAAACAGCACCGTAGTCCCTCGCGTTTTCATCAGCCGAGGTGCAAAATTGAGCGACCCTCGATCGAACATGTTCCGATGGGGCCCCCCGCCAGAGGACTGAATTTCAGACTGCTTGACCTCTAGCATTTTCCTTTGCCCGTTCCCAAATTCTGTCGGAAAGATTGTTTAAACTGCAAATTAATTTCAATACCTAGAAAGTAATGACTAAAATTAATTAATATACACATAAAATTTTGATTGGATATTTTGAAATTTAGTTAAATCTGCCAGAGCTCTCTTTCAAATCCTTGAAATTGAAACGGTAGGTCAGATTATATGAAAACCGAATTTTGAAATTAAAATGGAAAAATATATAATATAATATGTATATAAAAATATGATAATTGCAGTAAAATGTCAGACCAATTTTGGAAAAATTTTCTGTTGATCAATTCAACGAAAAACCTTAAAATAAATTGAAAATACAACTCAAGAGCACAGCCATAAAAAATTAGAAAACAATTACCAAATAATTTCAACTTCATTGCTCTGTGAATTCTTCAAATTATATAAATATTAGAATAATGTAATCTAATTATTGAGGGCGATCTTAAGGTATAATCTGGGACAGTCTTAAACCGTCATTCAAATTGCAGGAGCCAGTTTGTACGTTTGGATCGAACTCATTATTTTTGAACAAACCCGGGTCAAAATAATTTTGTTATTAGATTAGAAAAACTGAAATCGATGATAGTTTCACACCTTTTATTTTTAATTTTCAAAATTTCCTAATATTAGCATCATATTTTCTTACGTTTTGTGGTGGAAACCTTATTTTATTATACTCATTAGTTTTTAGTCCGTTAAGCAAAGTAAGTCTCTGCTTTGTTAGTGGTTTCTAATTAAAATTTAACCAAACCACTCAACTTGATCACCGTTTTATTTTATAGCGCAAGTTTCTCAACGAAGCCATCAAGAAATAATACAGGCGTATACGCATGTAGAGTCGTTCAGTGGTAGAAAGAAAGTTATACGCACGTGTGGAAAAAAATGCACAAGTTGAATGAAAAACGTTATGGAAGCAATGATATGAGAGACGAGCCTCCCTGACCAGGGGCAAGCCACTTTTTGTAGCCCCAGAGTTATAAATTCATAGAGTAGTTCTCTCTGCTCTTTCTCTCTCTCTCCCATTCAACGATTCAACTTGTTTCTTTCCTTTTTATTATGACTCGAATTGCTATTACTAAATTATTGCTTCATAAACCGGAGTCCTGTTTCGTCGTGCTTTGGGAGGCACGACTCGAACCTCGAGCAGTCTGTTGTTCATGTTAATGCGCGGGCCGTTGTCAGAATGCTTTATTTTACACCTTTGTGTCCCCTGCCTGCGCTTTGAAATCGTACAAAATGCGAAGTTGCACACTCTCACTTTCTTTTGCATCAATGTAGTTGCAATCGCGAGTGTACAGAGGCAGCACTGCCCTCGACCAGCATCGATCCTTTTGTTTGTCTCGCGTCCACTACAGGGGTGAGAAAATTTCCACCCCTTTCCCCTCTGCGTCGCGCGGACCTCAAGGCTGCTTAATTATTAGTGTTTTATTGCACCGCACTGGAGTCTATAAAAGAGCACCTTAAGTAAATGGAATTAATTTCGGCGCCTCCTCGACTTCTTTTTGGGTGGTGCGCACTCACAAACACCTGCACTGCGCTCTGAGATTTTAAAATTAATTAATATTTAAATTTAAATTTGAGTGATCAAATTAAATCTTTCAAAAGGAGGAGGTTGATAACTTAAAAAATGATGCCGGTAATGAAGATGTAAAATACAAAGTGAGGCCAAAGAAGCTGTTTCAAAGCAAGTACATCACGAGTGTCGCAGAGCAGCAACTTAATGAGATGAAAAAGTATGCGACGCTTCAATTAGAGGAAGAAAAGAGGAAAATTGAGGTGATGATATTTAAATGAATAATTAAAATAACTGGAGCAATTTGAATATTTTTTGATCAGATTTTGATTTACTCTAAAGAAAAAAAATATTTGATAAATTAAGCATAATTGTATTATTATTACAAACATTATTTTTTAATTTGAATAAATATATTGAAAGGAAGAAGAAAGGTTACCGGATGACCCATTGGAAGGGCGCAGAGTTCATTACTGGATTGTGATTCTTCCTGGAATCTGCCGGTCGGAAATTTGCAGTCCATTTTTTGTTGATGCGGCCTCTGGAAAGCCGTACTCGCTAGACGATCCTAATTTCTTAGGAATAGAATTTATTTGGAATGATGAAAATCTTTGGTTTTGCCATAATTCCCTCTCTCGAGATTTTGAATTAGAGGATTCGACAAAGTGGGTACCTTTCAAAAACAGAGAGAATAAAATTGAGATTCCTCTCTCTTGGATGGAACGACTGGATATATCCAACAAAGGTGGTTTACCTTAAATAGTTTTTAGAATTTTCTTCAAAAGAATTTGTGCTTTCAGATTATCAACGCAGATTTTACGGGGAGCGAAAAGAAATTTTATATTTGCGATGTAAATTGATAAAGTACTCTGAGTATTCGAGGAGCGATGGATTGGTGATGGAAATAATTGCGTACTCAGATTTAAACTGGCAAGATGTTTTGACAAAGACTCGCAGCTTTAAGCACAGAATGGACTTTCTCTATAAAACTGAATATGACGCGAAAAGTAAAATAACCAAACATTACTACTACAATGGAAGATGTGATTTTGTCAAAGGTAATCATTTTATTATAGTCATTAAAAAACCTAGAGTTAAAAAACTGCGTCGCAGAGCTTATATTCAATTCTGTGGACGAAGATAAGAGGGAAATATTATTTTATGGGAAATGTCATCCACTCAGCCTTCAAAAAATTTTGATTGCAAAGAACGAGATAACTGAACAGTTTCTGGAAAATTCACAGGAGTCTTGCTTGCTCAAACGGAATATGAAATATGTTATTCATAGCAATAGTGAGAAAATTATTCACGTGAGTAAAAAAATCGCAAAATTTTATTTTGTTTACATAGTCTGAATTTGGAAAGTGGACAGAAGAATATTTCAGCGCTGACGGTAAAAAGCCAAAAAGCAAACAAATTGCTCAAAGGAAATTTTTCCATTTGGAAGGCAAAATTTTTTTGACGTTCCATAAAAATTCAGATCAATTAACAGCTGGGTATTTTCACTTTGTAAAACCTGTTCAAGAAAAGGTAGAAACCTATCATCAGTACATGGTAAATTTACTCTACGATTGAAAAATTATAATTTAGTTTTTCTCACTTTTTAAGCCTCACCAAAGTACTGCTTCTAATAACGAACATAATATGGGAAGAGAGGACGAAAAATTGTTTAGTGAGCAGATCAATGACGAAGTAAAAATTATAGCCCACGCGCAGACTGCTTTCGTAGACGTAAATATGTATAATTTATTTTTTAATTTAATTTGTTGACACATTTAATTCCATTTTCAAATGCAGATTGATATTATGCTGAAAAAGCTTTTTAAAGAGCACCAAAATCCCTTGTTGAAGTCGTCAGTGTTTGACGAAGAGCGCAACTTGGACATAGTTGAAGATATGAACACAAAGGTAAAAGAAGTTTTAATGGGTACAGATTAAAAACTGTGGTATTTATACAGGAAAGAAAATTGCGAGAAAAATATCTGAGTGAATTGCTGGATCCTGTTGACGCTCCAGAAGAACTCGCGGAAAGAAAAGTCAAAAGAGCAGGATTGCCAGAGATTGTTAAGAAAGTAAAAATAAATTGTGAACAAGTTTTATAAAGTTGAATAATTATTAAAATGGAAATTAGGAAACTTTACTTAGAATGTATATTTTTAAATTATTTTAAATTAAGTACTTTTTGTTTGTAAAACATATTATTATAGAAAAGATGCAGTTATGCTTGAAGTTTTATTGTAATATTATACCAACCTTCATTGTAACTTCGAGGAAATGTAAAAAATAATGTTTCGCAATTGAGTCAGAAAATTGGGAAATTTATTATTACTTCCCAGCAGGCCGGCAGTAATAATATTAATATTAACCACGTGCCGTCAAATTACCGCCACAGGTCGTTCGATTGTCATTTTTTTAAATGCCGCTTTTTAAAAGGCGGTTCTTCTCTCGCTCCTCCAATGAGCGCCTTTCCCGCAAAAAGTGGCCGCCACAGCATGCAACAAGTAGACCTGCCATATTTTCTGTAAAACAATGTCGGTAAGTACACATTTCTTTCAAATTTTCATATAAATCACTTTCAATTTCACCACGAAACACTCGAAACCTGTTATTGAAACTGCCATTGACAGTAATTTCAATAAAAGTCGGACCCACGATTGTTGTCTCTGGCAATGTGTGGCATTTAAAATGAGCCCTTTAAATCACATTAATTTTGCAGAGCCCTGCTAGAGAAGATGGATCAGAACTGGCCGATTCGGCCAATTCTCCCACCTCCCCAGCCCGAGGCAGACGTCGATCCCTTGGGTCTGAGGCCGTCACATCCCCAGTTCGCGAACTTGATGAGTTTGAGGACGAATCCGACCTTATCGGAGGCAATGATGAAGTCGAGGACCAGGCGCCCGTGGAAGAGGAGGATGAGGAAGGCGAAGAGCTTTTTGGAGAGAACATGGAAGCGTGAGTTGAAAATTGCCATCAAATTTTACTTATGTAATATTAATTAATTTGGCGTGTAGAGATTATCGACCCATGCCCACTCTTGATCGTTACGATCCTAACATGTTGGACGACGAAGAAGACTATGATGCAATGTCACCAGCAACTAGGGCTGCTGTAGAGCAAGAGCTTCGTCGAAGGGACAAAGAGCTTGGAGGTCGAAGAGGATTAGAATATGGTGAATTTTAATTTTCTAATTAATTTTAAATTAAAATTTAATTTTTTAAAAGAGTATATGTTTATTTTTATTATTCAAATATTATACAAAAAATCTATCAGTTTACGTTTTTATTGATCAATATTGAAAATTTCTAATATTGTAATTTTACTTCAGAGGAGAGTGATGAAGAAGGTGATGGAGTTGCCCCTCGACGAAAACGACGTCAGGCTGACAAAGCTGCTGAAGGCGACATCGAGGATTCTGAGATGATTGAATCCATTGAGAATTTAGAGGACACCAAAGGGTACTCTACAAAGGAGTGGGTGTCGATGCTTGGACCAAGCACCGAAATCGCCAACAGGTTCAAGAGCTTCCTGAGAAACTACGTAAATGAGCAAGGACAGTTTGTCTTCCGTGAAAGAATGAGAAAGATGTGTGAAAGTATGTTAATTTGTAATTAATTTTACTGTGTTAATAATGTTTTTGTTTTTTTTTTTTAAAGGCAATATGTCCAGCTTTGTTGTGGAATTCCCTGTGCTTGTTGCTAAAGAGCAAATTCTGGCTTATTTCCTTCCTGAGGCTCCACTTGAAATGCTTCAGATTTTTGACAAAGTTGCCAAGGAGTTGGTTCTCAACATGTTCCCTCAGTATGAAAGAGTTGCCTCCGAGATCCATGTTAGGATTTCAGACCTGCCTCTTGTGGAAGAAATCAGAACCTTTAGGTATAATTGAGTTCGATCTTTAATATCATTATTAAATTAATGTTCATTTTAAAAATTAAGAAAACTGCATCTCAATCAGCTTGTGAGGACCAAGGGTATCGTAACTGCAACCACAGGCGTTTTGCCTCAGTTGTCTGCTATCAAGTTTGACTGTAACAAGTGCGGATTTGTTCTGGGTCCATTTATGCAGAGGCAGAACAACGAGGTTAAGCCTGGAAGCTGTCCAGAGTGTCAGTCCTCCGGACCTTTCATGGTAAATTTCATATGGCTATTTTTTTAATTCTATTATTAAATAATAAATTTATCACTAGGTCAACATGGAACAAACTTTGTACCGAAACTATCAAAAAATCGTGATCCAAGAGTCTCCATCCCGTATTCCACCTGGCCGTGTCCCTCGTTCCAAGGACTGCATCCTGTTAGGTGATTTGTGTGACAGGTGCAAGCCTGGAGACGAAGTTGACGTCACAGCCATCTACTCAAATCAGTATGACGGCTCTCTCAACACTAAGCAAGGCTTTCCAGTTTTCTCTACCATTCTGATTGCAAATTATGTGGCTGTTCAGGATTCTAAAGAAGTATTTTAATTTAAATTAAGACTTTGGGAAACATTTTAAGTTTTAAATCTTCTAGATTGTCCAAGCACTCACGGATGATGACATCACTCAAATCCGTAAGCTCAGCAAGGACAAGAAAATCTTAGACAGGATTGGCAAGTCCATTGCTCCATCAATTTACGGCCACCAGTTTATCAAAAGAGCACTCACTCTCTCCCTCTTTGGTGGAGAGTCCAAGAATCCTGGTAAGTGAATTGTTGCATAAATTAAAAACTTATTTATTGAAAAATCTTATAGGTGACAAGCACAAAGTTAGAGGTGACATCAATGTGCTCATGTGTGGTGACCCTGGTACAGCCAAATCGCAGCTGTTGAAAAGCTTGGAGCATGCTTGTCCAAGGGCAGTGTTTACCACAGGCCAAGGTGCCTCCGCAGTTGGTTTAACGGCCTACGTTCGAAGATCCCCCATGACCAGGGAGTGGACTCTGGAAGCTGGTGCGTTGGTCTTGGCTGATTCTGGAATTTGCCTGATTGACGAGTTTGACAAGGTAAATATTTTGACATAAATCAAGCTTCTTTACCTTAATTTGTACTTCCAGATGAACGACCAAGACAGGACCTCCATTCACGAAGCCATGGAGCAGCAAAGTATTTCCATCTCCAAAGCTGGTATTGTGACATCATTGCAAGCTCGATGCGCTGTTATTGCTGCTGCCAATCCCATCGGCGGACGCTACGATCCCACCCTTACATTCACGGAAAATGTAGGTTTTTTCATTGGAATTTGATTTTTGAGAGGCATACCAATTTTTAATTTTATTCAAGGTGAACTTGAGTGAGCCGATCTTGTCTCGTTTTGATGTCTTGTGTGTTGTGAAAGACGAGGTTGACCCAGTGAGAGATTCTCAACTGGCCAGATTTGTCGTAAACTCACACATTTCGCACCACCCTGCAAGTGCTGACAATGCAGATATTCGTAAGTTTTACTATTTTAATCATTTCATCCGGTTTTAATTTTCTCATCATTTAAGGACTTTTGCCTCAAGAATTTGATGCTGATGATGAACTAGAGGTCATTCCTCTGCATCTGTTGAAGAAGTATGTTGTGTTTTCAAAGCAGAGTGTCCGTCCAAAGTTGATGGGCATCGATCAGGATAGGGTGGCCAAAATGTACAGCAAGCTTCGACAAGAGTCTTTGGCCACTGGCAGCTTGCCGATTACTGTGCGCCATGTGGAGAGTTTGATTCGCTTGGCGGAGGCCAATGCGCGCCTCCACCTCAGAGATCAAGTGCAAGAGGCGGACGTTGATCTCGCCATCTCCATCACCCTTGAGAGCTTCATTAGCACACAGAAGTTCAGCGTCATGCGCTCAATGAGACAGACTTTCCAGAAGTTCCTTGGATTCCAGCAGGAGCGCTCGGAGCTTCTGTACTACATTTTGCGCCAGATGACTTTGGACCAACTGACCTTCCAGAGGTGTGTGCGAGGACAGCAATCTGATGCTGTTGAAATTGCAGAGAAGGACTTCCTTGCCAGGGTAAGCTTTTATTATTTAAATTTTGAAATATTGTATTATTTTTATATCCCTTTTCTCTTCAGGCTAATATGGTAACTCCCGATGAGGTGCAGTCATTCTACAAAAGCAACATCTTTAAGAAAAACCACTTCTCATATGAACCCTCAAGGAAGATGATCATCCAGCTCTTACCAGAAAATTGAACTTCTTGAGAGGCGCAAACTTTTATAATCTTTTAATAAATTATGCCAAATATTTTTCGACGGATCGTAAGACATCAGTTTCAACTGCATGTACCATGTAACTTAATATTATAGTTAATTAGTGAAATGGCATGTACTGGTGGCTTTGAAAACTTTTTCTGTGCACTATATTTTAAGCTTTCAATTCTCTTTCTATGCCTAACGCGGAGCTTGTATTTTTCATTCGCCTGCTCCATAGCCATCAAAATTAGCCTGTCAGAAGTTAGTATGTGCTCTGGAGAGTGCGAATTAAAAATATTTGCAAGCTTCTGTGTTCAGGCATCTTGTATGGACCTTTTGAAATGCATTTTAGACCAAAAAGTGGAGGTGCCGGGGATCGAACCCGGGGCCTTTCACATGCAAAGCGAACGCTCTACCACTGAGCTACACCCCCTGTTGTCAAAGTGCAGAACTAGAGGCCTATTTAATTCACAAGTCAGTGGTCTGTGACGTCATAACCAAGCTGTACACAACTACACACTTCATATACATACATGCCTCGATAAAGCATGGCGACTCGTTCTGATGTTGTTCAAGAAGATGGTTGTTTATTTTGAATTTTTGACCCTTAAAGTTAAATTTCCTTTTATTTTACAGCGGGATCATTTATTCCAGCGAGTCAAAGACCTGACGGGTCATGGAGGAAGCCCAGGCGCGTGAAGGAAGGGTACATACCACAGGAAGAAGTTCCTCTGTAAGTTTTTGTTTTCGAAAGTGCCAAATTTTGTTGATTTTTTTAAATCACATTATTTTTTAAATTTTAGCTATGAGAGCAAAGGCAAGCAGTTTGCAAAAAATAAACCGATTTACCCTGTTGGCATGAGTGCGTCAGTGGCCGAAGCGCTGAAAACTGAAAGAGCAGCAAGAGCTGCAAATAACCCTATCCCCGGCCTTACCATCGACCCTTCGGAAGAAGGTATTTTGGCTTTTTTCTTTTCAATTTTTTTTTTTTATTAATTTTCATTTTCAAAACAGCAAAGAAAAAGAAGAAGAAAAAGAAAGCAAGTACAAATGACGTCTCTGTGATCACGGAATCCTTAAACAAGACTCAAATTAATTGGCCAACGGGTAGCTCTAAAAAGCAAGAGACTCAAAATGAACCATCGGAAGCCGCAACGGATCCAGCAAAAAAATTGAAGAACATGAAGAAAAGGCTTCGTGAAATCGATGCTTTAGAGCAAAAAGTTAAATCTGGAGAAGTAAAACCAGACAAAGATCAGCTCGAAAAGTTGAAGAGGAAAGAAACCTTGCTAGAGCAAATCGCTGAGCTTGAATCGGAACTGGGCACGTGAAAATCGAAATGCTTTTAAATTATAACACTATGTATTTATAAATTAGGGATTTCTTTACAAGGTTAAACCTTTTAAACCAAATAATTAAAATTTTTGATAGAACCGACAAATTTAATTTTATTTTAAAGGAAAGAAAATACTAATTTAGACCACCCAACTTAAATTACTTCCAAAGCTTCTTAATTGACATGTTCTTCTCAGAGTCCTTCTGCATGACCTTGGCCACGGCCATTTCAAAGTCCTCTTGAGTAACATGCACACGGCGTTCCCTAAGAGCATACATTCCAGCCTCGGTACAGACACCCTAAAATGTTTTATAAATTTACCAAAATCCCTTAAATATATTTTCAAAGAAATACCTTGACTTCTGCTCCCGACGCACCGGGCATCAGTTCAGCAATTTTTCTCAGATTAATTCCACGGGTGAGGTTCATTTTTCTAGAGTGAATTTTCAAAATATCCAATCTGGCTTCTTCATTTGGAGGAGGGAACTCAATTTTCCTGTCAATGCGACCAGGCCTGAGCAGTGCAGGGTCAAGGATGTCAATTCTGTTTGTGGCCATGATGACCTATTTACAAAATTGTTTTTAAATCAATGTGCAGGAAAATTAACAAAATACCAACCTTGATGTTCTTGGTGGCCTCAAAACCATCAAGCTGATTCAGCAGCTCCAACATAGTCCTCTGCACTTCTGAATCACCACCACTACCAGACTCAATTCTCGATGAGCCGATGGAATCAATTTCATCCATGAAGATGATAGAGGGAGCATGTTCTCTGGGATCAAATATTAAAATAATTAAAATTTTGAGAGAAATTAGTGCTTACCGAGCCATGACGAAGAGTTCTCGAACCATCCTGGAACCTTCTCCAATGAACTTTTGGACAAGTTCCGAGCCAGAAACACGAATGAATGTGCACTCGGTGTGGTGGGCAACAGCACGAGCCAACAGTGTTTTGCCTTTAAAAACATTTCAAATAATTTTATCCAAGACGAAATTTGAAAATTACCAGTTCCAGGAGGTCCATAGAGAAGTACACCCTTGGGCTGGGCAATGCCAAGGGCATCGAACAACTCGGGATGCTTGACAGGGAGCTCGATGACCTCCTTGATTTCCTTTATTTGCTTGTCCAGTCCTCCAACCATCTCATAAGTGCTGTCTGGAACTTTCTCCACCATCATGAGTGAGACGAGGGGGTCGACTTTGTTGGGGAGGATTTTGTGCAGGGTGTAGCTTTCATTTCGAAGGGCCACTCGGCAGTTGGGCGTCACATCATTGATGTCAATGTTTTTGTCAAGGTCGACTACGAACTTGCCCTCCGGATGAACTTTGACAAGCACCTTTTTCTTGTCCATGGGCTTGACAACCTCGCCAACGTACGATCCCTGCTCTTGAAGCAGCTGGAGCTCTTCTCGCAGCATTCGGACTGGGAAAATGAAATTATTTTAAAATAAGCAAATTATCGCCTTACTTTAAGATAAATAATTAAGCATAATATGAAATTTAAAATAATTTAATGAAATCACCTTTGGCGTTCAATTCATTTCTCTGAGCTTGCAGACGCCGCAAATTTTGGCTCTTCTCAGCCACGATGAGCTGCAGTTCCTCAATTTTGGTGATGTAGTACTGTCGGAAGCCCTCGCCTTTGTGAACCTTTTCGTCCACCTCCATCTGAAACGAAAAATCATTCATTAATTGTAAAAAAGACCGATTTTGAGCGTGGCATCCATAGCGGCACAAGAGAAACTCAAATACATATTTTACAATAAAAAATCATCCCTAAATTCAGAACTTACTTCGTTTCCGTGCGTCATAATTCTAGCAGTTTCGTGAACCAATTTTCGCGTAGATTTTTGCTCAATTTATTTAAAAATTAGGTGAACAAAATTGACAAACACAAGCCACCTCAAATTCACAAATTTTCACGATGAGTTGCTTTTTGGAATGACAGATATTACCAATACAACAAAATACCTTAGTAGATTGTACATATTATGAGCAAACTTTGTGAACAGAAATTAAAAAAAACTTTATAATTAATTTTTGATTTATTATCAAAATTGTTATTTTTTTTATCAAATTGTAAAAATATTATTTAATTAACCTTGGTATCAATTTGGAAATTATTTACTTACGTTGGCTATAAACTTTTGTGTTTCTCTTTCGCTTGTGGTAAAGAAATAATCCGCTAGGTGGCTAAATCCATTCAAATCAGCGGCAAAAGAATGCGACTCAACAATGAATTTGAAGCATTTCGAGCGCCCTCCACAGGTTGTGTGATGGAGATTTGAACTTCATTGTCTACCGTAACGGTTTGGTCCGTCCAGTTGCCGAGAGGAAGGAAAGGAGGAGGAGAAAAGGTTTGTGTTTGGGCCCATAATAAGCAAGACGGTTCACTGAAAACTGAAATCAGTTGACTGGAGTACCATGAGCGACGGTTGAGGAGCGTTGGAATTGCGTGGACAGGGTCAGAGTGTGCTGTCAGTTGTGAGCGAATTTTTTTCTCTGCGAAAACCACTTGTCTTCAGACAGTCTGCATCGTGCCCGAGGAATGTGAGAGCAAAGTTTCGAGTTCCTCGGAAAGAAGTTTTGTTGCGGGTCGGACACGCGCGACCACCGAGTTGTACAGCCGCCTTGGACACGTTTATTGAAGGCGCATGAAAATGTCCAAACTGAACCACGAACTGTGTCTGAACCCCAAACACGAAGGACTGTTGAGTGTGAAGGAGGAGTTCATCGAGACCCTGATCAAAAAAGAGCCCATCACCAGCGTCTACAATGTCGAACACACTCCCTTCGCCAGGTAGACAAATTATTTTTTAATTAATTATTAACATCCCTGTGTAACAATCTGGTGTGAATGTGCATTGTTGAGAATGTTTTTTTCTGTCCCGTAATTCGCTACTGCACGCGATGATCATGAATGTCAAGCCATGACTCGGAAGGTCTGTCGATGGATTGGGTTTCTTTCCGACAATTCATGCGTGTTCGCTTGCAGTAGTACGTGCGAATTTACTTTCCAACAACTAGATATGATTGGCAACTCTGCAATATATATTTATAATAATTAAAAAAATTATACTGCAAAGATCAGTGCAGTCGATTTTATAATAAAATTAAAAAAATTTGCAAATTTTTTTATTGCAAAATAAACAACTTTTTTGATATCCAGATTAAAAAAAAAAAAAAAATTGTACGCAATAAATTATTTTTATTCTTTTTAACGAATTAGGATTTTTTTGCAATAGCTAAATAATTAATTTAATGTTTAAAAAATTTCAAAACATAAAATGAAACATTTTCATTTTCTTTTGGCTCTGCTTTAAACTCTCTTCGTTGATCCAGAAAGCAAACAATTTAATGATATCTAAGGTTAATATTTATTAAGGAGAAAAAGTCTTATTACATTAAAATTTCTTTTGTATTTTATTTGTTTTTTTTCTCAGACTAGGTGAAATTTGTGTTTATTATCGTTTTCCAGCTAATTAGAAATCATCCATAATGAGTCTCACTTCCTTTCTCACGATTCTTATTTTTATTGCTAATTTTACCCTTTTAAGTTTTTTTTTTAAACTACAGACTCTTTGAATAATGTTAATAAATTAAATAATATATATAGAGGAATGAAAACAAAATTAGCAATTTTTCCAGCAATTTCCACCCTTTCCAACTTATCAGTTTTCGCTTCCGCTTTCGTGCTGCAGTCACAGGTGCACGCGTTTTATCGTTTCAAAAAAATTAAAAACCCTGGGTTTCTCACGACCTGCAACACACCTGGTTTTCTCTCACCAGGGTGGAAACAAACACCGCAACTGTTTGGTGCTTGCATGTCTCTCAGTCTGTCTGAGGAATGCTGAGATAATTTTAAATCGTTGGGGGCTTTAATAGGGCAGGAAACGGGGCAGGTTTATACAATTTTACAGGAAAATGTATTCCACTTCCTGCCAAGTGCACGAATTTGTTATGTAAGATTTCCAGCAAGTTCTTAAATTTATTTCTCATAATTTAGTGCAAAATTATTATAGACAAAATGATACTAAAATCTAATGAATTGGCGTTAGGCGAACTAGTTGCCAAATATTTCTAATGGCGTGTCACGGGGGCGATGATGAATTGAGTGGCGGATGACTGGGCCGAGCGGAGACATTCCCTCAGGCCTAATTTCAATAATAACGGAGTGAAAAGAGATCGCAGCCTCCGCCTTTTTTTAAAAGCTACCTCTGCTTAAAGGAGACAAGCCTCGAGAATAATAGTAAAAAAATTAGGCATAGGAATTATCAACTTTTTAATTTAGCAAGAATAAATTTCGGCAAATATTTTAATATTTATTTCCTCCTAAAATTTATTAAGTGCAAAAAGGTTTTCCTCGAAAAATTGTCCTCACTGACTCATTTAAATTTCCTAACCTTGTAAATTTTTCCTACGTTAATTGTTAAATAAATTTTAATCCCAGAAGAAAATCCTAAAAATTAATAATTTAGATTTTAAAATTGAATGTGTCAGTTTTGAAAGCAATGAACTTACAATTAGCAGTAAAAAATTTATAATCTAATCAGTCTGTGCTCCGTCGTTGTGCATTATTTACATTATTATTCAGTGAGAAATCATACAATCAACGACCTTTTGAAAGCATTCTCATTGATTATGCAAGTGAATTTTTTTTCGTTTATGATATGTGCGCACGATTAAATCTCTAGTTGCGCTCGGTGCTTGCGAAGGAAAAATTAAAAGTATGAGAACAAAAGCGCAATTAGGCAGCTCATAATCATTCCTCTGAAATGTAGGTTAACGTATGTTGATGGTCGCTGAGAACTTTATCTCTTGAACGCTTCGACGGATCCTTGAAGGAAATTATCAACATCCTCGACGAGGGAAAAGGGGCATTACGTAGGAATTTTGTTGTGGCTGCCGTGTTTTCCCATTTAACATTCTCCGGCATTCAGAATAATTATAATGTAAATCAAAAGGTTGAATCGATTTTGCCACATTTTTGTCACAGTAATAAATTTTTACGTAATTTTATATTATTTCATATTTTGAGAGAAATTTTAAATTGGGAAATAATTACAGAGCTTGTAAATTATAGCCATTTCATCTAAATTCACACATTTATTGGATAAAGTAGATTATTTATTCTAAATTCCTTCAGTACAAAATATTTAATTACAAACTATAACAAAATCCATATCAAGGTTGAAAAACATTGAACTTCCACAGTAAAATCTCTGCAGTCATTATCAAATGTAAAGACGAGTATTTATTTGATTGTTGCATTTAAAAATATGAAGAAAAAAAATTGCGTTTAATGAAAACTGAATTCTAATTAAGTAGGATCACTTTTTAAAGTCATTTGTGGAGACTTGAACGCCTGAATCGCATTCTCTTAATTCTTAAAAATGGCAAGTCAAAGAAAAGTGAAAAGTTCATGCACCGAACATTTCTGGTTCGCACATGCCGCCACATCCTTTTTATTTGTATGTTTTTAGGGTCGTTATACTCGTCAAACTTTTATCATACAATAAACAGCTCACCACTTCCGCAGCGTGCGATTTTGTAAGCGGCATCTGGTTTTAAATCCAAGCACATGTAAATGTTTTACATCAAAATACTCCTGACAATCCCTTTTTAGTGTCAATGAGCTTTTGAAAGTATATTTTTTCAAAGTAACCCATTTCCTTCACATTCAAATGGACTTTGAAAAAAAAATAAGTGCGTAGTCTTATTTTACGATCTCATTTTACAATGCAGATGATATACGAGGTCATTTTTTACTTGGTGTAATATCTGGACACACTTGGATTAAAATCAACTGATATAATTAATCTGTAAAAAAATTAATTCGCTTGTTTTGAAAGGAATGAGTTAAAATTCTCTAATCTATACCAGAAATCCAAGAAGTGCTTCAGCAGCAGATAAAATCGTCATTTCCCAACTCCTAACTCGACTGATTAAAAAAAAACTTGAGCTGTTTTTTTTTCTTCTAAAACATGCTGACGCAACAGCGGTCATACCGTTTGAATTTTAAGTCATTCTTTCTTCGTCGCGGCCGACCTGCAAATTCATGAAATTGCACGCTCGCTGCTTTCCGGTCTTGCGTTTCAAAAACCCTGCCCATTAACGCTGAAACAGCGGCGATTCGTAATGTTTGCGAAACCGTATCTATAGTTATAGTGTGATGCACCTTTTCTGATAAGAAAGGCTTCATATCAAAGGAAAACAATTATAAAATTGCTTCGTTCTTGGCAAGTAAAAAAATTCAAACGCTTCTAAAACAAAACGCACCTTTTTTCTGTGGAATTTTTACAAATCTTGGCTATGTCATTCTATAAAACACTATGCAAATGAAATACGCAAAGTGATTTTGTTTAAGTTTTTTTTTTTGCACAGTCGTCGACTTTACTTGCAGAAGCACTGCACCTACAGTTGGAGTTTCGCAATAAACGTCAAGTCTCGGTGCCAAATTAGATTACGTCTCGGCGCTCTCTCGCCTTGAGCTTATCATAAATAACGCGGCATTTTGCCATTATGCAAAAGTAACATACTCATTACTGCGGCGGCGAGCACAGACACTATTTGTGCCCTCGTGCAAAACGCTGCCGCCTGTCACACAAACATACGTGAATGCGACTCTATGCAAGCAAATGAAATCAATTTTCTTGTTTGCAACGCGTTTCTCATTACGCCTTTTGAATAATAATGCTGCCGCGTGGGATCTCCATTAAAGCACAATAAATCATTACTGATATCAATTAAGCACTTAAGAACCTGCTCTTGATGGATATTAATGAAAGGGGTTTGACTTTGGGAAAAACACAAGTTTTTATTTCCTCATAAATTACACTTGTTGCGAAAAGAATCTGACCAATTTGTTATAATTATTTGGTGCTCATAGGATTTTGAGTAAAGAAATGCCAGATTCAATTTAAATAAAAATTGCAGGAGCCAAATAATTATAAAATAATAATTTTGTGCAATTTTTTAATTATTTTTCAACTTTCTGTAATGATAATTGGAATTACTTAAAAAGTTTTATTGTCAATTTCTACTCCATAATATAAAAGGTTGCAAAATTTTTAACAGAGCCTTTGTGTTGGTAAAAAAACTGTATTGTAAACGGTGTCAGTTTGATGGCGATTGTGTTGTAGATAATTTGTGCCGCTGAAACTAACGGGCGAAAGTATGAAGAGATTGGACGCCTTTTTATTTTTTAGCGTGGTCAGATTGACGACAGACGGTTGAGTGACACGACCGTGAATCACGTGGGAGATGTGCGTCCAGAACAAAATCTCAATTAATGAAATTGACGCGTCCTTGTGCTGCTCGGCAGCAAAATTACAAATGCGCTTTTTGTTCGCGTGGCGAAACAGCGTCTGCGCCTCCTTATCTTGCCGAGGCAGATAACGAATTATTTGTAATAATTAAATGCATCGAGGCAAAGGTCTCGAGGAGTGTGAGCGAGTGAGAGAGATAATTAAAAGTTTTTCCCTTATCGCTTTTGTGAGCGAGAAGTAGCAAGGCCTTTGCGAAACGGCGCGCGCGAAAAAGGAGCTGCGCCGTAGAAATCGCCTCGCCCTCTCATCAGACGCGCGACCCACACTGCATGCGCTTTGCCCACACGCGTGTCTCTCTTTCTTTCTTTTACCTTGACAACAAAATAAGGACCTGACAAACCCTCCTATCTGGCAGCTAGATTTGTAAATTAACCTTTTACAAATGTTTTCTGACCATTTTTATCAGATGCGGCCTCCACAGGTCCGAGAAAAATAATCGCCCGAGCAGTCACTTGCGGCTGCTGGTTCGTCG